CGCTGCTGGATTGTGACCACCACTGCTAAAATTTTGTTGTTATTTTATCAATGCGCTACTAATTTTGACTCACACACCATGCGAGCATGGTAACACTCATCGCTTGGCTCACTTCCTCTCCTCATTCTTCAAAGGACATCTACGAGACAGGTGCTTTTAGCCTATAAGAGCAACGTAACTCCAATCAGAAGGCGCTCGTGAGTGGAGGAAAATATTCTGGCAGTAAATGCACGGTGTCGGCTGTGTGTGTTAGCTTCTCAAGACCAAGAAAAGTCTGTCTGTTGTTTCCCACCTGCTGGAAAAGTGAAGTGTGTTTGCGCTAGCTAACATCTCCCCTCCTCTTCAGACCGCAGCTGAGCAGGAAAGCTTCTACAGCAGCTTCAGAGCTGCTATGTAACTTAACATTAGCTCAATTTATAGAAAGTAACTGGAGGCTTTATTTTGTTACTGCCTACTTGTCCAATGTTGAGAACATCAGGTACAAACTTAGACTAAACTGCCGTAGCCTGCAGCTCCGTCCTGTACAGACTGATTCAATTAGTGTTCAGATGAAAGAGTGGTTGTTAGGAAAAAGGACGGAGGTGACCGGAGGAGCTGAGGTTAGTAAAGCTTATTAGTGATGCAAACTAGTCCTTTTAAGCTGATGAGGAGACGTTTCTTTTTGGATTTTAATGTGCAAATAAAATGCACCTCAGAAGGGAGGAGGTTTCTCATGTTGCCTATTTTTTATATTAATGTCTACAGATAAATGTCAGAAGCTGTAAAATGAAGACACAAAAGGCAAACAGGAACAGTCGTATCTAGAATGATTCTGAGGTCACATTAACAGGGTTTTAGGGGGTGATGCCCAAAACATGCTGTGCCATCACTGTAAAATCATTGTGGAGCAACAGAACCAACCAAATTACTTTCTCCAGATCTAAAGGTTGGAGTTCCTCCAGCAGACTGATCTTTGGCTGTTGTTTATCTGCTCTAGCGTTTCCAAGTATTTGTTCAGAGATATGGTGAAAATAATGGCCCAATGTGATGTGAAATTACATATTTTTCATTGGAAAACATAACATTGAAGAGGGAACAGGGTGTAGACTACTAGTGGTGCCATCACAAAGCAGGCCGCTACAGGCAGCAAAACAGATGGTGCTGTCTGCTGTGTGAAACCTCGGGACATGACATGCAGGCAGAGAAATGCAGGGCCACCCCTCACAACGCCATGAACACCTTCCACCAAATACTCTGATTATGTTTCTGTTTCACTACTCTCGATGCCGAGTTTAGTTTTTATTCCTTTATGTGGTTTGGAGATGATTCAGGGACTCTTTGAAAGTGGTCTGAGGCAAATTTTACCACAAAAAACAAGAGGGGATTTGGATGATCTAAACTTCAGTGCCTGCAAACGATCAGATCACCCAGGAAGCAGGTCGCCGCCAGCTGAAGCGCCAGTCTCTGTTAGTCACTGCAAATATGTACATTAGCTCTACAGCATCGACTGGGAGTCCGCTGGGGCTTGGGATCTGGCATTCAAACTGAGACTAGCTGCAGTTTAGCTGACAACAATAAGAGAGCAACAGTCTTAATCGATGCTAACTCACCAGGCCAGAGACCACCAACAACGTCTCATCATATAAATCAAAAACAAATGCCTTTCTGCGGCTGCTGGGACGACTGGAGTCTTGTTCTGAAGTGGCAGGTTCATTTTTGGATTTATTTAGAGGTCTGATGATGATGACGATTGTGGGACCTCCTGTAGAAGTTGGTCATTTTTTTTAGCCAAGTCAGCCCAAACATTTCCAAGCATGAGGATTTTCTCCTAGGCAGAAAGCAACGTAGGGTTGCAACTATTGATTACTTTCATTCTAGATTAGTCATCTGATCTATACAATCAGAAAATCACAACTACCTGTGGCCCAAAGTTAGGTTTGTTTTGTCCAACCAACTGTCCCGAATCTAAACACATTCAATTTACTTAGACATATATAAGGACTGCGATGGACTGGCGACCTGTCCAGGGTGTACCCCACCTTTCGCCCGATGTCAGCTGGGATTGGCTCCGGCACCCCGCGACCCTGTACGCAGGATAAGCGGTTGACGATGGATGGGGATGGATATATGAAGGAAAACAGCAAAAGCTCAGAGGTGATGAGCTGGAACTAGTAAATGTTTGGTATTTTGGCAAGATAAATAACAGTGTATTGATTATCAAAATAGTTGCCAGATCATTTTCCGTCATTTGACAGTTTGATTAAATGTCTAATGGGCTGGGTATGATTTGGAATGTATCAATGCTTGCACAGCTTTAATGCAATACAGTTTTTACTGCTGACCTACTTAATGTTCACAAACTGTTAAATGAAATGTATCTGACTCACTGTTAAATGGCTGTAACCTATTGATTTTAAACCTTATTTTCACAGGCAACTTGCTCCAAATTCTGAAGATCCCAAAGCATAACTATTGAGTTAATACGCTTTGTATTATTGATAAGAATGATATTATTGATATGAATATACGTTTAACTGGGAGACAGTGATCAGTTAGATCATTCTCTAGAGAAGAGTAACCATTCTGTTACAATACTCCAGTTCCAGTCATACAGTGGTGCTACAGAGTGTTTCTTCTTTCTCACAAACAATATTTGGTTGAGTGCAGACAGTCACCACACAACAGCCAAATGTTTCTTTCAGGCAAAATTAATGTTAATTAACTCCAGCTGATTTAATCTGCCACTGGTAGAATTTGCCATTTTAACCAGTGAAGGAAATGGTAAGCACTGGTGAAAATGGTTTTGCACATTGTTCTTTGCTAATACAAAAGTAGCCAGGTGAGATAAAAGATTTGTTAGCATCAAAAGTGGAAAGAGTTTACAGACTGGGAACCTGATCCAACCTCACTGTGAGAATGGAAGTGGCTTTGGGAACCCAACCCTACAAAAATAATACTTTTTTATATTTCTTTCTTCTTTGAGGAGTTGCAGCTGTCCAACAACTCTGACCTAATTAATAGTCTACAACTGGCAAAAAACTATGATTGAAATCAGGAAAGTTAAAGAAGTAAAGAAAACTGAATCAAACCAGGCTCTTGGTTTCAGCTTTCACTACTTGTCAGTTTGTACCTAAAACATATTGAGGTTTGACACCCAATCCTATCCCAGTTTGTGCCTCCTACATGTTACCGAATTCAAGTCACAGAGAAGAGATCCATTCTTGATTACAAGTGGTTGACCAATGCTGTTTTTGACTGGCTGATGGCAATATTTAGAAAGCAGCGTGGCCAATGGCTGATATATAACGGCAATATGAAAACAATGAAAAGTCATGTATTATTCCATTATTTCATGCAGAGTACTATCTAATCTACATGTTATCTCAGTCGGTAACGTGTTGTTTAAGATGGACGTTGTATTAATGAATGAAATAGAAAAACATATTGGGTTCTGTTTGTTTCAGGAGGTGACTGGTGTGTAAGGGAGAGTGGGGTACAGTTTGTCAGAAGTGACGTCTTTCAGCTGCATTATTCTCTACTGTATAACTAATATATAATATTAATTTAACATTAGCCAGTAATGCTGTTAGATAAGATCTGCTGTCATTTAGGATTGGACAAACATGTTAACTTTCAGAAAAGACGGTGGTGACTGAGGACATATAGGGCTCCAAACTAACTTCTTCACCACCTTCCCAAAACTCACAAGAGGGAGCGCTGACATCGTTCCACACTGACACGGCTGCCTGCAGATGTGCCGCAGACATTCTCTTCATTCTTTTTATCTGCCTTGTGAGTGCAGGCATCGGCAGGCACCAACCGATTATTCATCTATGACTATTTTAAAAAATATGACAGTGCCTGATGATCTTTGAAAAACCAAGAATGCCGCTGAACAACTGCTCGCACATTTAATGCAACACAAGAAAAACATCCCCACATTTTTACGTATAAAAGCAAGTAGTCTACGTAGCATACTGATAACTGATAATAAAACATTTTACTGTTGGTACACATCCGACAAAGCAGCCATGGAGATATGTCACATCCACAAACCATCTTTGTTGGGATTAGGATCTAGAGTCACAACTTTGGAAACAGGTTAAACAATATCCTTAAAATATTTAGATGGAAACATTATTGAAGATTTTGTGAAGACCTTCAAAACAGTTTTGAGTGCTGTTGAATGACCTTCTTTCTTCTTTTTTTTTTTTTTTTTTTTAAACATGAGAGTCACAAACTGGGGCAAACCCAGCCAGATACCTACATGACACAGATCACATGAAGCGGATCCCAGACCACCAAGACTACATCTCGGCATACTCCCAATCATTACAGATGGTGTTCTCAGTTTTCTAGTGAGCTGCTCATTGCAAAGTGTGAATCAACCCTGAGGTCACATCTCATACTGTTCAGACAGCTCGCCTTCTGGCTCTCACTGAACCCCTCCTGCAGCTATGGGTAAATGCATCCTTGACACGGTTACAGAGTTAGATATGAGAGTTTATGCAAAATTGGGTAAGGCTCGACTGAACTTCCAGATTTTTTCAGATTGTCTCCTCTGCAGAATAAGGCAGCGGGGACATTCATCATGTCTGGAGAAGACAGCCGTGCCCTTTCAGGTAGGCGCCCCCCCACTCCTCTTTGGAAAGCCTTGCTACAGGCTACACTCTACAACTCATTTTCTTCACTGTGCATGGAGTAAGAAATTTACAAAAACGAGTTCAACACTTCAAAAAGTCAATGAGCCCCACTGTGTGAACTTCACAGTGGCCTCAACAGCCGAAAGTGCTTTTTCCTTCCTGCAACAATGTATCTGACACAGCGAGGAGAAACCAACAAAGAAACTATCCCTCCACAGCACACACCAGGTCTGCTGTTTGCAAAGTAGACACAAATCCGATGCACATGGAGAGAAAAAAAGAACAAGATGATTTTCGTGTCATTTGTGAGTGTGTCTCAAAGCAGTGGACTCAGTCAAACTATATCAGCCACTGTGACAACAAAAGCAGACAACGTACCGTCACGGAAGCGCCGGTGAAGACTGCTGTTATCTTGCCCTGAAATATGTATTAATATCCTGGTGAAGCAGCCGGGGTTTCCCCTTTTTCTCCTGCCAAACCTCCGTCCGGCGGTTCTTCTCTTTCTGCTGCTCTTTTCCTCCTCGGAGCTGGATGGACAGCGACGTCCCCACTGAGGAGAGAAAATGGGCGGGTCTCGAGGGTTTCGACAACGCGCTCGACCAATCGGCTATCGATATCGATAACAAACGACCGCTTTCTCGCCAATCGGGTGCTGTTCCTGACGCAAGCCGTGTGCTTATTGGTTGGCTGAGTAAAGACCTCCCAGTTGAAATTACTACAGCACCGTGAGGAGAGCTGGTGGAATGTGATCCATCAGTTCACCCACCTACAGCTGCATAACAACCCGCGAAAGATATTTTAAAGAAAATTACCGACCAATAAACTGAGAAGTATAATACAAATATCAATGCTGAGAATAATCATGGATTAAGCATCTTACTGATTTCAAAATTCGATTAGTAGGCTATCTATTAGTATCTTCTGCATCTGATTATTATTTTGTTTAATTTTACCAAACAGGCTATAGCCTTTATTTATTTGCCCTATGTTCCTAAAAAAAAAAAAAAAGCAGCACGAGCAGTGCGACAGTAAGTTCACTTTCAAAATAGTAAATCAATTTGAATAGCTTAAATGTTTGACAACAGAGGGCTCGGCTTAAAGAAGAATGCCTGTGGCCAGGGGCCTATTGTCTCAAAATCAGTCAATAATTAAACAGTTCACAGGACCAACTGGTCTGATAAGTAGGCTACTAAACAAAATCAGCTAATAAAATAGAATCAGATTGTCTCAACTATTTGAAGCTTGACAAATGTAAAAGAAAACACAACACTGGCGCCCTCTGATGGTAGTTTCCTCCAAAATGGGTCAATGGCATGACTGGATGGCGCCCTATGACCCCCAATTCTTCCAACTTTATGAAATGTGTAGTTTTTCCATGCTGAAATAATATGTGGTTATTTCAGTTATTTTGGCACACTTAATTTAAAGCTAACTTTTGACAATGACACACTCTTTAAGACAGGGCCTCAATATCAGCTAATAAAGCAGAATACACTCTAAGGCCCACATCAGTTTATAAACAATAGTCACCATAATAGTCAGGAAAACTCACAAACACCACCGTTGGTCCACTAGAGGTAGGCGTTCTTTGACCCACCATGATACAGGTGAAGCGCATGTTGATGTTTGAATCAACATGTACAGTGGTCCAGGATCATTGCTGCATTTTGATTTTGACTCTCACTGGGGTCACCTTGGAGAATACTAATTGAATGTAACATTTATTTTTTAACATAAAGCCCGTGTTACAAACTGCAGGTGTGGAGTTGCAAATGCAGTCCTTTCCATGGCAAGGAGGGTCTAACAATAGCATTATGGGAAATGTAGGGACCATTGGTAATCCTTCTGGTGCTTAACTTCCACAGACAACGGGACATTTTAATTTCTCCAATTCTCTAAAAGCAACAATGAATAGAGTACTCTGTATTTGCCCTTATTATTTTGTTATTGTAAGTGATCTGCCTGTTAATACTTTAATTTCCCAGTGTGGGATTAATAAAATGAATGTTATCTAATCTTCTACTGATATGTCTGCATACTTTAAGTAGGCTACTGTATTTAAAATTTTAATTTCTATTAGGTTCATACCAGAATAGTAATAATGAGTATCATGGGGATTTCTATTCCCCTCACAATGTTACTTGCTTCCAACACAGTTAACAGTTTACTCTCTCTTAGGGGGCAAATTTCATGTGTCAACATAAAAGGCTGCTAATTATAATTGAAGACGACTAAATTTGGATGAAGTGGCTTAGATGCTGTAAGTACATCTACTCACTTAGCTGACGCTTTTAACCCGAAGCGACTTACAATTGCCATATATGTCAGAGGTCGCACGCCTCTGGAGCAACAAGGGGTTAAGTGTTTTGCTCAGGAACACAATGGTGGATAGTTGAACCCCCGATCTCTCACACCAAAATCATCTGTCTTATCCACTGCGCCGTAGTTGTTGTTGGGATGGGTTATTAAGTGGCTGTTGTTTTCCGCCCTCTCTGACGTCCCAGAAAAAGAAGAGCTCGGAGGTTTTTGCTTTTGCTTTTGAGTTAGGTGCATCAAGCTAGCTCGAGTACTACCAGAATTGCATGGGTTCTACCTTCAAATTAAAAACGCCAAGTTAATGCATGCACCGAATACGAAGACATGACAGGTATGGTGCAGTTTGTGTGATTGTGTATATTTTCTGTAAAATGCATTAATGTTATACTTAAATTAAGCTTATTATTATTGTTGTTGTTGTTGTAAAAACAGGTGTCAAATCAATGAATGAATCATTCATGTGTAGCCTGCTTAACGGGAGAACAGACACATAGAGGTAAAAATGGTTACAATGTTTCAGAAGACTGGACGTTTTATAAATGATGGAATAAAAATGCTTTAGTATTAGTATCTGACCTGTGGACACCATACAGTCTATGGTGGACACGCTCGACAACGGTTATATTTTGAAAAACACTAACCGGATGTCTTCCTTGTTATCTGGCAGTCCAAGCTAGCTTTATAACTGGGTTCGCGTATATCCACACTGAAAACACACAGGTAAACGCACTAGCTATTTTAGCAACATATTTGCCCTACTTGTATTGTATTGTGCTGATTTGACGTAATTACAACGCAGTATGTAACTATCAGCCTGAGTATGTAGATTTTACATTCATTATCACACATTTGGTATTTTCCGAAGTAAAGTTCACTTCTGGTGTTAGTCAGCACGGCTAACGTTAGTCACCAACTAGCTGTTAGCACAGGATTAGCCCTGCTAACAATAGCAAACCAATGTTAGCTTACGGTAGACATTTGCTTTACACTTCCATGGCTAACTGGTGTTAATTAACGAGCTGCGCTGTTTACTATCCAAGATACAGCCTGGTATGTCTGAGTAATACACATACAATGCAATTGTTAACGGCAGTTTAGTTACAGGGATAAATTATGAAGTGCATTTAGCTAAGTAGCTAACATGACCAGGACCCGTAACGTTACGCGCCGTTCTTTCCTCAGTTGGTGGAACGTCACACAAGACTCCCTTCACAATTTCGAAAGTTTAAAGTTACCTTGCTAATCAGCAACAGCACATTGCTAGTACTTAACTTCTTAGGAGCTTTTTGAATATATTATGGATTTTATTTCAATCCGGCTGACGTATTATACTACTATTGAAACGGATCTCTGTAGTAGAACTTTTTGAAGTTGGTTGACACGGAAAACCCCGTAAAGTAGCTATCGTTTAAAATCCTACAGGCATATTGTGTGGGGACTTCATAGGATATACGAAAACTGTTTAGTTTTCTCATATGAGAACATTCCAACGTTTTCTTCATATTGATTAATTAACACGCAATTTAAAGCAGTTCACAACGTAGCTAAGTTAACGTTATAGCCACAAGGTTACTTGTTTTGCGTGTCAGTTCTGTAGGAAACTGCTGCGAAGTTAGGTCTGATATTTAACGTTAACGTTACTGGTTGAGTATCTTAAACTCTCTCTTCAACTCCGAACGGTCCTCAATACATAACGTTACAGCGTTCACTACACCCATTCACATTGTACCATCCACAACAGCACCACTAGCATAACGTGATGGCGGTGTTTGACAGGCCGAGTTAAGTTAACTTTATCAACAGTAACGTTAACTTAAAATACATTAAACACGTTAATTTGTGTTAGCTTACATCACAACGTCACACACCAATTAACGTTAGCCAACAAAAGGTAAGCTAGCTACATTGTTATTAGCTTCCGTAAGTTACCTGTCGTGTGTCACCTCTCTGTCTTAAAGTTATGTAACGTTAAGCGTGGGATGAAATGTAAAGCGATCTGAAGCTTGTTGGAATCATTTAATGTAAATGTTGATGTGAGGCTGCTAAACCAATAGCTAACTAACTTAGTTAACCTAGAATGATGGAAAAGTAAATATTGGTGTTTGTAGGCCTGAGACGACTGACAGAGTTGCTCCCGCTGCTGCTGAAGTTACACGTGGTTGACTTTTGCTTTCTGGCTATAAGTTTTGTTGTATTGCTAAGAAAGTGCTAACGTTATACGCTTGTTTCTTTTAGTCAGACCTTGTCACATGGCAGCAGCCACAGTTACTGTAGAAGCTATCGTTAAGCAAATGTTCAGTGAAGTTGCGTTTTGACACTCAGACATGGCTGGAATGGGAATCTGCTTTATCTCTGTTAGTCGTGGTGCTGTTAGCCTGTAAGTTAGCACATCAACACAGAGTTGTTGCCATCACGTCTGTGTGTGTGCGTGTGTGTGTGTGTGCGTGTGTATGTATATGTGTGTATATATATATATATTTCTTTGGCCCGCCCAAAGGAAATGCTGCAAGTATGTATTTGCTTTTGACAGCCCGTTTCTGCCAAGCAAAAAGCGTTTAAAAAAAAAAAAAAAAGCATCACTCTCCCTCTGGCTGTTCAGTGTCCCCTAGCATCTTGATACACAGGCTGATACAGAGATGACAGGTATACATTTGTAATTAGTACAAAACTAAATAAAGATACGATTAAGCTGCAGTTAGGATTTTGTAACTAAAACAAATCAATTTTTTCCTCAAGTTTTATGTCAAATACTGAATCAGAAATACCCCAGAAAATACATGGGCAGCTTGTGATGCATAGTCCATAGAAGTCTCGCACTCGTAATGGTTTTCTGATTTGTATCAGGGTAATCTTAACACTTCAGGCATGATACTCTATGCACTCTCTCATAATTCTTACTATTCTATAATTTGTATTTATTAAGGCAAAGTTTAGATTACAGTGTCCTAATCTGAAATTACTTCCTCCTGACCAGATTGAATCCAGCTGGTGTTGCAAAATTTGAGATCCAAACCCACATTTTTGCTGTATTTTCCCAATTACTGGCTGTTAGCTCACCAGGCTAATGCAACACTGTCTCTTTCACTCTTTTTATATTTGTCAAAATAATTGTGATTTTAAAATAACTGAGCATGATCAAACCAAACAGTATAAAATGGTTGTGGACTGCCGTGCAGTGTTTTGGTCTCTGATAGAAGCCTTATGAATGTATCA